ACTGATATGCATTTATCAGCAGTATTATGGTTAATCACTGCCTTCACAGGGAGAGACACCTTGGGCAGAAGCGTTATCAATAAACACTAAGTGCAACGTGATATGCAGAGATATCACGTCTTCGCCAGCCAGCACCTGTTTGCACTTCAGTCGGGGAATGAAGACACAGCAGACATCTACTGTGAATTCTCTACTTGCAGTGACTTCATTCATAAATTTCCATCAGCCACATGTGCAAGAGTAAAAAAATAATGAAAAGAAAACTGGAATGATGAGCACTACACCATAGAAAGCAAAACAGAAAATTACTGACGCATCCCTGCTGTGCTTGCTGCTTTCTAAATTAAATTTTCGCCTGTTGACTTAATGTTCAATAAGTAAATAAGTTGCACACAGAAACCTCTGAAATGCAACATCGCCATCTAACATGAATCATTACGTTTTCTGTAATTGGTTAATTTTTTGACGCTTCAGAAAGACTGCCAACACTATAAATGCCAGAACTGTAAAAAGTCAACCTCTTCATTCAAGCCTCTGCATCTAATCTCTGATGTTATTTTGTGAAGAGTCCTGCCTTTTTCTATTACTACATTGTTATAAGGCATGGTGTTTTCAATACAATGGGAACATAGTGCCATCTTCTGGTCCACATGGGTACTGTCAATTCTTGGATGGAAATTGGCCCACTGTCTGAGACATCTGGCTGCAGACACATAATGTTGCTAAATCCCTGGAGTCTCAGTCCTTCCCTCTTGCTCCTCTCCTGTCCAACCTGGTGTTTCTATTTACTTGTGTGTGTGTCAGGAGCGAAGAGAAAGAGAGGAACTGAGAGCGAGAGTGAGGACATCCCTGCGGCACTCTTCTAGTCAAGAAACTGAAGGTGTTAACATGTGTTTCCAGAAAGCAGGGACATTCTTCCTCTCCTTGGCTACGACGCCCAACTTCAAACGAGCCCTGCTCACTGTGGGCGGCGTGCTACTCTCAGTGTGAGTTCCCTAATGGCCTTAATGGAGAACAAGACCATTTATTATTACTGGTGGGTGAGGTATGTATACAGCTACAATTAAGGAGAAAAACATTCCGGTGCTTGTAAAGGGCAGTAATGTGACTCTGGGAGTGATAGATGCTGGGGGAATGAGTCTCGCAGGCCAGTGGGAGTATCTTATTATCTGAGGCATGTGGGGGATCTGAATTGAGGTAAATTAGAGGAGAGAGAGGGAAAAAGAGAGAGAGAGAAGGAGATGAAAAGGATGACATGCAGGACATAGAACGGAGGGATGGATGAGGAGAAGGACCAAGGTAATAAGAGATGCCAGGTGAGAGAAAATATATTGATAAGACAAAGATTTTCATAGTGACAGTAGGTAAGCCTTATTTTAAAACACATTTATCTGTTGTGAAAGGTAATTGCAAATGTAACGTAAAGAATGATTCCATCACAAGGTGCCCCAATGCAAAACCTTCCATTTTGCATTGACTACATACTCCACTGGGAATTACATCATTGGTGAAATGATTGTAGATAATGTCAGATTGCCAACCACGACTTCCCCCTTGTTGCCACGGAGGCAGCCATGTTTATACTGTATGAGCACATGACACAGTGAATAAAAGTGTTTTTATGCATAAAATATGCCAATGTATATTTATGTCACTGTGCACCTGTCCAAGTAAATTATCAAATTTCTAGTCATCATCATTTTTCTCTGTGTGTGCTTAGGGCTGTGTGTAACTGCAGACTTTTTGTTGTTGTAATCATGTTTGCATGTGTGCAACTGTGCATATTTTATTCTGCCACCATGCAGCGACATTATTGTATCATTGCAGGAGCCACAGTCATTAATTTGTGCCTGGAAACATGTTCCTGTATATACATGCACAGAACATGCTTGGACCCTTCTTAATAAATAACTATCCATTTGAATTACTGTATGTAGCAGCATCCACAATCACCACGTTACCCTCGGGAGTTCTGCTCGGGCAGTAAGGGTGGTCAGGAGCAAGCAAATCTCAATTACACTGACAGGTGACAGTGAAATAAATATATTATCATTATTCCTACACAGTACGGCCAAATGTACACTCGCTGTTTGTCTATGTGTATGTTTGTGTGCGTGCCCGTACACCGTGTGTCCCCTTTTGGGATGAACGGCCATATGCATGAATTCCCTCTGTGGGGCAGCAAATGCCAATTAGTTTCTTAATAGCACCATTAGGTTCTGACAAATGAAAATGCTAACTTACTCCAAAATAGAGATTCATAGGTTTCGGTGCAGTTGCTTTCTTAACCATCAGCCCTGCGTCGGTCTCATGATTATGTATGGCTGTGACATTTTGAACTGCAATTGATTCAGATGGAACATTCATGTCCATGAAGCACTGTCAGGTCAGGTTTTACAAGAGGTGAAATTGTGGAATGTAATGTAATGTAATGTAATGCAGTCTGATTTCATTATCAACGGTGATTGGTAATGTCCGGCACTGAAGAGGGAACAAAGTCTGCTCAAACCATACAAGCAGGGAAGGTTAACTCTGCTCGGACTCAAGACCCCCAAATACCACTATTATATTAAGTTATGATGGACGTGATCAAATTAAACCAAGTTCAAGATGACACACAAACTAGCCGTTGTAAAGATGGGCACGTTTACTCACAAACAGTGGTAAATGGCACTCTATGTACACAAACAACTAGGAGTAAAGGCTCCATGTTGTACTAAAGAAATGCAAATATCTAATGCACCTACAAAACAATACGCATTTTAAGATTATTTCTGGGGTGCTGTGTCACAGGATCAGGAATAATTCATGGGGAGGAGGAAAAAAATCTGTATTAATATTTGTATTTAATTACACACTGTTATACTTCTCTAAACTATGTATTTGTGCATCATTGAAATACAAGTTGTGTACAGGATAAGCCATATTGCATCACTCAGAAAATATATAATCTCAGAAAAGCAATTTCTATTTTAAACATGCATGGAAACTAGGGGACTAAGGGATATCCCATTTAAACCATGCTGATATGCTGGGTAGGCACCATGCAACGTTTTTCCATCTCATCCTTATCTGGATAATCCAAAATTCCAAAAATGGGAATAAAATGTCATGGTTCTCTATCTCATGTATATACCCGTGACATTTCTTGAGCGTGGGGTATAAACTTTGTTTATCACCGCATCTGTGTGTGGTGTGCACGTGCGTTTACATTTGCATGTGCATGTGTGGCCTTTAGTGAGTTTAATCTTTTGTGTTCATTGCATACAGGCTCTGTCGTGCCTCCGCTTTTGTGACTGTTCCGTGTGTATCTGTGTTTGCAGGTGGACTTAACAGGTAAAATGTACCTTTCGCTAGATGTCCTTGATTTACTGTGTCAGCGGTGTGCAGTGAGAGACAGGCCAGTTTAATGCATAAACAGATAATCCGCCAACTTCATGGTGGATGCAATATGATAAGAAATTTATTGTCATAAGAATATGCTTTCAGTGATATCATCAGCTGCCAATAGCAGGGAGGGGGAGCACGGGAGGGAAAGAAACGCGATGGCGCAGACAGAGAAACGGCGAGAAAAGACAGACAGCGAGACAATTAGTCAAAATCATTGAGTTCTGCAGAAAGAAGGAATGACAAAGACGGCCAGACGGCAGGAGCAAGAGATAGAAGCAGATGGGGGAAATTAAGTCAAAGTTAAGTAACCATCGTGTGCTTCTTTATCTCCTCCAGATATGCTAATCTAGTGAGCCTCTGCTGATATGAGTTTAACAGCCTGGCTGGTGTGAGTGTGTGAGTGTGTGAGTGTGTGTGTGAGCTTGAGAGTGAGAACAGTTGTCCTTTTTTATAATGCTTCCAGTTACACCAGCTCCGCAGAGCCAGTACTGAGGGACACAGTTATAATATCATTGCAATGGAAAAGTGAGTATAAATTACATCTAAAGGCACTCAGCAAAATGTGACTGTGTGTTTTTAGAAAAACGGTACACATGGACCATGGGCGTGTGCAGGGAGGGAGTGTGTTCAGTTAATAGAGAAAAGGATTAGTGTGTGCTTGCATGTATGCAAATATGTGACAGAGGGATGATAGTATCAGGGTTGATGAGTTTCTGTGCTGCAAAAACTGGAGTTCATCCAATATTTAGATGCACTTTAGTGTGGACTTGATTATTTAGTGTTGACAGTGCAAGACTGTTTCAAGTAAATGTCCCTTGCATTCACTTAATTAGCAATTTCATCTTGTAGCATATGTGGTTATGCAAGTTTGTTACAGGGCAACCAGTGTAGGCGAATGAATTTCATATACAACAGAATATCACCAGCTCCCAAAGACTACAGCACAAACAAAAACTAAAACAGCTTTAACACAACACAAACTCCTGACAAATTACAGGTATTAACTCAAAAGTGATTCACTGTGAAGTCTAAAGCCCAGATCAACAGACTTTTAAACCCACCGTGAAAATCATCAGAGTCTGAGAATGTCCCGACAAACTCGCTTTTCAACAAACTAACTGATAATCAGTCAGACAGGCCCAAAGAACTCACATCCTCCATTCTTCCTTCCAAGTATCAAATCAATCAATCAGATTTTGTTTGTATAGCCAATATACACAAACCACTATTTGCCTAAGAGGGTTTACCAGCATCTCCCCTCAGGCAGACGGGGCACAGGGTTCCCTTCAGCAGGTACCATCTGTCCAAAAAAGCCCTTAACACCACCTAGGCTAGATTATGTTTGTTTGTTTCATTTGTCCTGATGGTAATATTTTATATTGCACCATATAGACCTAAACATTTCATCCTGTGTGATGGATGCATGTACGTGATTGTGTTCTTCATACTGCAAACACTGTGATATGGCAAAGATCCCACTGGGACAACAAAGTTTTATGTTATCATCATGCTGCTTTGATTCCACTCATCACAGTTCAAACCCTTATAACCAGATCACATGACCGTATAAGTTACTGCACACACATCTGTTAGAATACATACGAACTCACCTGGCTGCAGACATGTGTTGTCCGGGACAGACACATGTTCGGACTCTCAGGTTTGGACACATCCTGCCTCGGTTCGGAAACGACCTTTCATTTCCTCCACGTCTTGTCAGTCACCAGGTGGAAACCGTGCGCGTGTGTGGAGAACAGGTGTGCGCTCAGCTGAGGCCTCCACAACAATCCCCTGCAGATGTTGAGTCGGATGTGTCTGTCTTCCTCCAGATGTTTTCGCTCTGACTCACACGAAGCGATCCAAACTGAAAACTTCCAAACTTTTGACTTCTCACACGCGAACTGTTTCGCGATCCAGCGCGAAAAATCAAACGCGCACCGCGAACTGACCGCGAGCTGGGCCTCACTTGAGTGACGCACAGATGTGACGTAGGTGATGTGTGACGGAGTTCATCCCCAGCACTGATCCAGGAACAGTGAGGAAGTGGACTTCAGGATTATTTACGAATATTGTCCTGCTGATCACTACGTGGGGGAGAGTGACACAAACTATTTCCTGAGGACCAACAAGAAAAAACAAGAATCAAGACTCCAGTAAATGTTTAACTCATAGCATTCATAACAAGACTTTCTTTCATTGTGGGTAGAATGTAGTTCTTATGTTCTTCTAATATATTTAGAGAAGATAATATATTTTTCATGCAAAATGTTTCCAAAATATACATTCAGAAATAAAAAAAACTCATCTGTGATTTTCTTTAAAGATGTTCAACAATATAAAAATCACATTTCTAAATCTGTTTAGAAAAAAAGGATATATTTGAATAGCTTTGTGAAATATAACAAACCCCTGATTCTTTTGTTTTTTTGTTCATGTCTTTGGTAAAGACATGTGTTTTGTTCTCTCTCTAACAAAGGATTGAGGAAAAAGGAATCTCTCCACAGTGACAGCTTGTGTTAAGTACAAGGGGTGAGATAGAATGAATGAACAGACATGTTAATGAACTCAGGTCAGCCATAGGTGTCATGAATAAACTCTATGTAATGATGGACGACATGACTGATCCTCAAAAGTGACCTTATGGTTGGAGGACAACCGCTCTACCCCCTCAGCCACAGCTGCAGCTGTTCATGTTTTTGATACGTTGGGTTTTGATCAGTTGTTTGATTCTATAAAAATGTGGTGAAATATCATGACTGAAAGTTTTAAAGACATGTTTACTCATGTAGAAGTACGTTATGTTGTCTCCTTCACTTCTGTTCTCCACATTCCCCCTCCTACCTGCCCCTGCTGTTTCCTGCCAGTTCAACCTGTTAGATATTCACCTGTTTGACCTTCTTACCTCTGAGTGCAGCTCTCTCACGCTTCTCCAAGTGTGCCGTTCCACTGTTTTGATTTTTGCCTTGTTACACTTTTTTGGTGTTTTTTCCTGCCGCCTGTCTAATTTGTTTGGTGTTTGGATTGACTGTTTGTGTCGACCTTTGACTCTTTGGATCCTGAGGAAAGAACGTCTTTTTTACCCACACCTGCGTCTCTGTGAGTTTCTCTGGGTCTCACTCTTCCCTGTTAGCGTTACTCTGCTGTGAGCATTTCTGTGTGCACCTGTTAGTCACTTAATCTCTGGGTGGTGGTGCCCTCCTGTGACTTCAGACTAACCAGAAACTATTCTGTGCTGCAGCTGGTGCTCTGGAATCTCTCCACTGCTCCTTTTTCACATGGTCTATCATGACTTCATCGTGTGAGTGGTGTTTTCACGCTGCAACAATTGTGACTTTAAATGCATGTAGCGAATACTTTTACTGAAATACACAAAAACTACTCACTGCAAAACAGCAACAGTAAATATAACTTGTGACTTTCATCTCTTTATATCCAGTGCAGCTCTGGTTGCATTTTCTCTTCAGCCTTGTATCCTTTCTTCTGCAGCAGTCCATCACTTGGTCAAGCAGCTCTGTCATGGCAAACTATGAAATGTTTACATGTAAAATTTACATTTTCAAGGTAATTTAAACTTAAAACTGGCAGCCTTTAGAATGATCAGTTTTCCAATCCAACCTATACATGCTGTGGTGCAAGAAAGCAGGTTAACTCAGTGCAATGCATGTATAAGATTAATGTGCTGAAAGAGTCATGATTCACTTTTTCTGAAAAGTCATAATGTGATTACATGGTTTTCAGCTCATTTGAATAAAATGCTCATACCAGAATAGAATTTCTTTGACCTTGACTTTCTTCTGCACATGTATCACCACCTAAAGGTCCAGAGAGTTCCTTAGACAACTCCATACAAAGCACATATAGAGATTACTTAAAATAACCATGTAGGCTGTTATAATTATGACATAAATATCAAGTTTCAAATGCTTTTGTCAACAAGTAGTTAATCAAACTATTGTTTGGCCTGAGGGTGGCTTCAGAGGACAGGGAATTAGTCCATTAAAACATGAGGGGTTTATCCACTTGGGAACATACTGTATATTCTGCCATTAAATTTACTGTCTGTGAGATTATGCCAGAGTCCAAAATATGTATGATTCATCTTCTGGGGCACATGAATATGTAAAAGTAATTTATATGACATTCTTTCCTATAGAGGGATATTTCCTAAGAACAAATTGGGAGAGGAAGATCATTACAGCTCCTCTGGCACACATCTTGGACTTCCTTGTCTCATGTGAGGGGAGGGAAATGTCCTGACATCCCTTTCGGAGGTTGGTGCAGTAATCAGCAACCCAATCTCCACTGGAATTTAATACGTCCCCCAGGAGAGGACAGCATCCTGGCATCCACCAGCAGCAGCAGCGGCATCGGCATCTTTCTTCCCCTTGGATTTGACAACCACTCATAAAACCACTCAAGCCACAATTATGCTAGATTACCTGGAATAATTACTACATTTACAAAATTAATGATCATCTTGTATGTTTGCTTGTATTTGCTCATCCATTTGAGGGTCCACTCCCTCGATTTCTCAGTCCCCTTTGGAAAACTGGAGGGGGAAACTGTTCAACAAGCAGTTTGTCCAGGTTAGTAGGAGGGTCAACAGCCCATCGGTTTTATACACAACATGTTATTGATTACCTTCACAAACGGAGTTGTTGTATACAAGATTACATCAAAGATTACTGGACAAATTACTACAAAACGTGATGAAAAAATCAGGCACATTTAGGGAGCGGGTTGCTCAGAGTTTGTGAAAACTGGTGCAGCTTGATTGAATTTAGGGCAGTGTTGGGCCTTGGTGGAGTATGTGCTCTAGTGAGTGCCATTTATAGCTATTACAGACGTCTCTTACAGGTGTTCTGAATGTCATAAAAACCCTATTTCATGTCAAATATTATGCAAAGTCCTTCTCAAATTTGCATGAACGGGTTCTATAAATACCAGAGGCTTAAGATCCACAGACAATGTAATTACGTGTCGCTTGGCTGTGAGTTTATCTCCCATTCTTGTGGCCAATCAATTGGACATGCATCCTACAATCTCTGAGACTTGACCTAGTAACACATTTAGATTATAATCTAACCAGTGTTTTTCATGTAAGGACATGTCTGAGCAGAGAGAACCTGAGTGTTCCTTTATGTGCAGTGTGACCGATCAGCAGCCACATTGGCAAGTCTGAGTCAAATAAAGCTTGTTTCATTTTCAGTGACACATGTTCGTGTGACCTTGGCACGCCACGGTGAGGTGTATCCAATCACTGCTCTCCTCTGATGACAACAGAAATACATAACAATGTATGAATCCATGTAGACGCGCCCACATGCTGTGAAATCCAGGACACATCTGCAAGCACAGACATGCACCCAGACCAATGTGCAGTGACACACACACACACACACACACACACACACACACACACACACACGCACGCACGCACACATGCACACACACACACACACACATGCACACACATGCACACACACACACACATCAGAGATTTCAAAACCCTATTCTGGTAAAATGACTATTTCAGGCCCCAATGGTTAAAGTGAATAAAGCTCCATTAACTCCATCCCTCTCTCCTTCTCTCTACACGTCTCTCCATTTTTCTCTCACCCTCTCTGTTTATTTCCTTTCTTTGCTCGCACTCTCCATCCACTCTCTCTCTCTTTCTCTCTCCCTCTTCTCTTCCTTGCCCCCGCCTTCTATCCATCTAACTCTCCTTCTCAGCCACTCTCTCTCTAATATCTCCCCTGCAGCCATTTTCAGGATTCTACAGGGAGGGAAGCAATCTTAGATTTATTTTACCTCCAATTTCCAATTTGAGAGACCCCTGCTGCTGGAGGCGAATCTTCAGAGGGCCTGATGTGAGTCGTCCTGTTAAATTAAAGTCTGTAAAAAATGGCAAAGAAATTTCAATGGCTCCCCATGTTTCTTGCAACAAGACCAGAACACCACTCGTTTTCTGTACACAGAGTCGTATGCATCACTAACCTTCATGGTTTCTATGGCTTTGAGAGTCAGGGCCCATTACCACTGGTCCCCAGAAATATGACCGGAGCTGAAAAGTCATGAAAAACCCTGAATTGGATGTAACTGAACAACCCTTATGTGACAAGCAAACGCCTTTAAAAGGCACATTTAAGGGATTTATATTGGGACTGTGAGATTTGAACTCTCTTTGTGGTTAATGCCTTTTGTGTAACATTATACGTTGCATAATGTGTCTGAGATACTATATATCTTCAGTCAAAAAACAGACTTTCAACAGTTAGACTACGTCATATTCACAGTACAAAAAAAACACTCCTGATCTTTGGGTTACTGCTAATCTGACCCCCTGCAAAATAAAACTCTATCTATCTCCAACATGCCCTTTGATACTCCATTATCAGTGAAAAGAATACAGTCTGCCGTGTGGTCTCCATATGTCCGCTCTCAAATCCTCGTACAAAAGATCCCCGCACACACTGTTTCTTTATTTTTTGCTCTTGATCTCACAGAAAAACAAACTGTGAGATCCCCTGAAAAACACACTCCCTTCATTCTACACTCAGCCCCATTCACACACTGTACTGACACAGCACACGGTCCTCTATTCCCAGTATAAAGCCTGGAGACAGGTGTTGGATTAGCTTTCTGGAAGAAAAGAGCTCAGCTCCTTTGATAGGAGTTGAGCTGGCCTGGAGAGCAGGGAGGCAGGTGCACCACGAGACGGAGAGAGAAGCATGTGTGTGTGTGTGTGTTTGAGTGAGTGTGTGTGTCAGAGGATACAGCCCAGTCATTCCATCTATTGAGAAGAAAAGAGGAGGCCTTTGGCAGAGCTTGCTTCTGTAATTGGAGAGCTTGGCACAGCCAGAAGTGAAGCGTGGATTGGCTGTTGCCACGTGGTGACAGTTGCTCGCCAGCCGGCCTGTCTATGCACATGTACACGCACACACATACACACACACCAACATGCACACAGAAGCACAAACGCACACTCTGGCAGACGGTTAAATTTCTA